CAAGAATATCTAACATCCATCCACCTTTCCCTTTCCACCTCTCTCATTTCCTTTGTGTTTGTGTGTGTGTGTGTGTGTGTGTGTGTGTGTGTGTGGTGTGGTGTGGGGGAAGGAGACAGATAGAGAGAGAGAGAGAGAGAGAGAGAGAGAGAGAGAGAGAGAGAGAACTATATTGCCTACATTTGTTTGTTTTGAGGCAGAGTTTCTATGTAGCTCTGACTGTCTCAGGCTGGCTTAGAACTCACAGAGAGGCCTGCCTCTTCCTCCCAAGTGCTGGGATTAAAGGCATAAATCACCATGATGGAATTCTGTCTACATTTTTGCAGTGCACATTTGCATTCTGTTATGTCAAATCCTCACGATTGGTTTAGTTCTGTAATTCATTTTAGGTTTTCAAGTCATTTGGGGATATGCATAGTTTGTTCTTTAGTTGTTTTTCAGGAGAAAAATATATTGTTAAATATATTTTATATTTAAAATATAAATATAACAATGTAAAATGTGCGTTAAATATATCTTTATAACTAGAGAGACAGTTTGACTATTTATGAAGCCCCAAGCTTAAATTCAGGATCAGTAAGTAAATGTGGTCCAGTTCCCTTAGAAATCTCATGTGCTTATCTTCATCTTGGACCCAGTGAAGGACATGGTGTGACTTTATCTAGTTCTCAGATTATTTGATGTTGCTGGGATTTGAACTTGTTCATTCCTTTGTGAGGAATAGACTTTTCCTTTGTTTTTATGTAGTAGCTTCTTCTAATTACTGTGATTAGCATTTTTTCCCAGAGGTAGGTAGGTATTCGTTATTGCCAGTATCCCACATTGCATAAAAGGGTGTGTGTGTGTGTGTGTGTGTGTGTGTGTGTGTGTGTGTGTGTGAAGTTTTAGACCATATTTGAGAACTCATTATTTTTTTTAGCACTTATTGTTTGCGGAATTTCTGTCCAGCCAGCCTGCTCCCAAATAAACACACAGAGACTTATTAATTATGAAAGCTCAGCCAATAGCTTAGGCTTGTTTCTAACCAGCTCTTACAACTTAAATTAATCCATTTCTATTCATCTACATGTTGCTGTGTGACTTGTGACCTCTTTTCTTGCAAATGTGTTCTCTCTCACCCAGTGGAGACTCTGCCCTTCTTTCAGAGTTCTCTGTCTGACTCTCTTATCTCTACCTCCTGCCTAGCTAATGGCCATTTAGCTTTTTTATTAAACCAATCATAAGCATCATGGCAAAGACACATATTCACAGTGTACAAAAAGATTATTCCACAACAACTTACAGTGGTGTATGATTGTCTTATTACAGCTCTATTGTTTATTTTGTTATCATTTGAATGAAAGGGGAGACCTTGTTCCATCTTATGTACTGCTGTATACTTGGAGCCTAGTACACAGTCTTGCTCAGTGTAAGACTCAGTGTATATTTGTGGAACAAACAATCATGGAATATGGTAGACTCCTCAGTATGATACCATCTTAAAATTGCTAAGAATTTGGAAATGAGTCTGAACTTCTACAGTAACAAGTATTTGATTCAGGGGAAAGCTGTAGGCTTCACTTTTGATAGCTGGAGAGAATATAAATTGACTTAAGGTTTGGGCCTTATTTTGCATTAAGAATCAAAGTATTTTATTGTGTACGTGGTGGTGGTGGTGGTGGTGGTGGTGGTGGTGGTGGTGGTGGTGGCACTCGCCTTTAATCCCAGTCCTTGGTGGGGGAAGAGGCAGGCAGATCTCTGTGAGTTCGAGGCCAGTGTGGTCTCCAGAGCAAATTCCAGGACAGCCTCCAAAGCCACAGAGAAACCCTGTCTCGAAAACTGAACCAAACAGATTGTTATCTCCTTACCCTCAGTACCCATTTTTCTTTTTTAAGGCATTACCTTAAAGTGTTCATCATTAATGGAAGCTCTGTTATAACCCATTGATTGTGTATAACTATATATAAAGGAGATGCAGCATCTTTATTCTCTGATTTCTGTTCTACTTTAAGTTCAAATTCCAGTTCGCTGGCTTTCAGATGTGTCTAGTGCACTTTGGTCAGTTACCCCCTTTCCTCCTCACTAAATTGTCCTCTGCTACTTTCACCCCTTTTAAAATTCTAAACTCTGCACATGATATAAAATGTGCACATCTTTGTGAGTGTGGTTTATTTCACTCCTTGTGTTGAAAATATATTTTGGGGGCTCATGTCTGTGATCCTAGCACTATGTAGAAGAATTCCTAGGAATTCAAGCTCAATGTTGTCTACAGAGAAGTTTTCTGTTTCAAAACCAACCAACCAACCGTCACTGTATTTGTGGAATGCAGTATAATACAGGTATACAAGGTATAATGCTTAGATGATAGGAATCACCATGCCTATCAGCTCAGACATCCATCACTTTTTGGAAACATCCACAGTTGTAATGACTTTTAATAATATTAAATGTTGTAATCTGTAGTTATTCTACTCTGCTGTATTGAAGGTTAGAAGGTGTTCTTCCTAACAACCTGCATCCCTGTACCTGTTAACCATGCTCTCTTCATCCTTCCTTTCTCCACGCTCTCACAGGCCTTGGCAACTACTGTTGTATTTTTTTTCTTCCTTAAGATAAACTTGTTTCCCATGTGCTGTTGTATAGGGTGAAGATTATGCGTGGTACCCTGTACAGCCCCACATCTGAATGTGACAGCTCCATACGTGAATGCTGTTATTTCTTACAGTACTTGATTTCTTCATGTATAAACAGTGTTTGCCCTTTACTTACTACTATATGGTGAACATTTTCCAAGTCAGGTTTTGTGTTTATAATGGATGTGGCATAACATAGAAATGTCGGGTTTCACCTACTCAATCGTTAGTCTTCTTACAATCGCTGTTAAATTGTGCTGTGATGATTCATACCTTTTAATTGTTTTGTAGGTTAAGTTCCAAGAAGTGGAATGATTCTTTGACTTTGCTTTAGATTTGTAGTATGTGATCAGATGCCCTTGTAGTCAGACTCCATTTTTCTGTGTTCCATTTCTAAATATGTACTTTTAAAGAAGATAGTTTATACATAGAAAGCAGAATATTGAGACACCATATCTTCATAGCTGTAGTTTTCATCATTTTCATTTTACAGATGTGCATATTTGAATTGTTTTTGATGTATGTCAGAATTTTGTCCTGAAAAGGTCTATTAATTTGTATACCTACCAGCAAAACAGAGTAACATTTTGAAACCTTTAGCTAGTAATTATGTCTTAATTCAGAATTATATGGTTTTGATAATGTGGCCCCAGTTTTTAAGGACAGGTGAATCCCCAGTGTTTGGTTTTGTTAATACTGACTGTGTGTGTGTGTGTGTGTGTGTGTGTGTGTGTGTGTGTGTCTTTGTATAATATGTATATAAAAGTAGTTCTTTTCTTTATGGTCTGCTTTAAAAAATTTCACATGGAGCTGGAGAAATGGCTCAGTGGTTAAAGAGCACTTGTTTCTTTGGTAGTGGACCTGGGTTCATTTCCCAGTACCCACATGGTGGCTAACAGCCACTTGTAATTCTAGTTTGACTCTATGTTCTCTTCTGTCCTCTGTGATTATCAGACACTCATGTGGCGTACATACATGCAGACAAGCACCCAGACACATAAGATAAAAATAAGTCTTTTTTTAAAAAGTTATTCATTCATCTACTTGTTATAATAAATCTATTATTTGTGGTAATATAAATAAACATATAATTTATTCACTCATTTATCAAGTACTTTTCTCTGCCAGGTATACAGCTAACATTCTAAAAATACACTTTTTATTTTTAGAATAATTGCAGCCTGCAGAAAAGCTGCAGAGATAGTACAGCTTATTTCCCTTAAGCAGCTTCTCCTACTGCTAACATTTAATATTTCTGTATAAATTTATCACAACAAAGCTACAAACATTGATATATTACTCTTAACTAAACTTTACATTGTATTTGGATATCACTACTTTCCCCAGAAGTATTTCTTACTCATCTAGGGTCCTGTCCAAGAAACAGCATTACATTTAGTTGCCTTGTTTCCTTTCACTTCTTTTTGTTGTTGTTGTTGTTTTTGTTTTCGAGACAGGGTTTCTCTGTGTAGCTTTGGAGCCTATCCTGGCACTCAATCTGGAGACCAGGCTGGGCTCGAACTCACTGAGATCCGCCTGCCTCTGCCTCCGGAGTGCTGGGATTAAAGGTGTGCGCCACCAGTGCCCGAGCTCCTTTCACTTGTTTGTATTTGACAAGGTCTCCGGTCTTCCTTTTTTGTTAGTGTTATTTTTGTTTGTTGTTTTCTAAATTTCTCAAGATTTATTGTTTTATGTGTATGAATGTTTTGTTTACATATATGTCTGTGTACTACATGTGTGTCTAGTGCCTGTGGAGGTGAGAGAGCACGTGAGATTCCCTGAGTTATGGTCATGGATGGTTGCGAGCCTCCATGTGGGTGCTGACAAGTGAACACTGTCTTCTGCAAGAACAGATTCGTTGAATCACTGAGCCATCTCTCCATCTCTGTTTATTTTTCACTTCACAGGGTTTGGAAGAATAGCAATCATGTCTTTTATTCAAAGTTTCTCGGTTTGGGTTTCTGTGATGCTTTTCCTGTGGCTATATTAGGGCTATTTGTGGTGATATGGACTCTGGGTATTATTTTATACTTCCTGTTATAACCTCATGCTACAGCCTCTATTTTGTTCCTATGCTTGAGTGCTATCTGCATGTACACCTTTATGCCACAAGAGGGCATCAGATCCCACGAGAGATGGTTATGAGCTGCCATGTGGTTGCTGGGAATTGTACTCCGGACCACTGGAAGAGCAGCCAGTGCTCCCGTCTCCCCACCCCCTCTGTATTTCTTCTTAAGGTTTATATGCTATTTTCTTTTGAACTGCAAACATTGTATAACTTTGTGATAGTTTCAGTAGTTTTATAATGGTGCATTACTCCTTTTTTGTCCATTGATTTGTCACTTACTGTTTTAATTAATTGCTTCTTTTTTCTTTTCTTTATTCCAGGAACATTTTAGTGGATAAACCAAATGATCAATCTTCCAGATGGTCTTCAGAGAGCAACTATCCTCCCCAGGTAAGATTACATGTAACATCTGAGACTGTTTAAAAGTCAGAATAGATGGCATTTGCTTAGTTCGTATGAGTTATCTAGCTAGAAACCATTGAGAGTTAGTTGATTTTGTCTTGGGAATTATGAGCTACATTTTCTTTTTGGTGTGTTAAAAATGTTTATTTTATAGGTTAAAATAATGTGGGATTTGATGAGACACTTTTACTTTGTCTTAATGAAAATTTATCTAACTTTTATATATTAATAAGAATGTAAAATTAAGTTGTTTTTATTTTTTGTTTTTTTTTAACTTACAAGGAAAATGTTAGACAAGAACTGACTAGAGTGCTTGTAATTGTCCTGATCTGAGCTGAAGTTTTGTTATGCTCAAGTCATTCTGTAAATGTTACTAAGTTGACTTTGACTGAGGGACCTTTTTTGAAAAGTCAGCATAGTTTGTTACACTATTATCCTGGTATCTTTTAAAAACTACATTTATCTGTTTATGTATGTGTTTGTTGAGTGTGAGTGCATATGTACACGTGAGGATGAATTATGGGAGTCTGTTCTCTTCTTCCATCACATGAGTTTTGTAAGCACCCTTACCTGCTAAGCCATCTCTCTGGCTGAGTTTGCTATGTTAAAATAGTGCACTTAGAAGGTATAATGGGGGGCTGGAGAGATGGCTCAGTGGTTAAGAGCACTGACTGCTCTTTTAGAGGACCCAGGTTCAATTCCCAGCACCCACATGGCAGCTCATAACTGTCTGGAACTCCACTTCCAGGAGATCTGATACTTTCACACTAGTGCACATAAAATAAAGTTAAATAATCGTAATAATAAAAAGAAGGTGTTTTGGCCCTGCTTTTTCTTGGTAGGTAGTACTATTATTAAAAGGGCCATTCTTTCATTATACACTTTCTAGTGTATAATGCTTAGTGAGTAATAGTAGTATCATTTATATCAATATCCTTGAAGGTGTAATAAAGTAGGTGGGTAAACTTACTGTAGTAGAATTCATGGGAGTCTAGTTTCTGTACTTTTTTTTCTTGTCTTTTCCTGTACCTATTTGTGTCATTTGATAGTTTCATATTTTATTTCAAAATGATGTGTGTTAAATGCTATGTTCTCAGACCAAAGATTGTATTTTTATTTACTTTGACATTACTGCTGAAATTATGATTTTTTACTATGAAATTCCCATTTAACTATATTTTAAGGGTAGTAGCATTTAATATTTTTATATATTTCTTTCTCATTAAAAATTATTTAGTATGTATTCAAGAGGTACCAAGTTAAGTAGAGCTATGAAATATTTTCTTTGTTCTTGATGAATCAAGCAAAACCCTGATTGAGTTAGCATTCAATCTGTTGAGTCCTAGAATAGAAGTAACCTAAAGCTTTTGTAATTAAGTAAGATTAATTTAATTTTGAAAGTAATAAATAAATAAATTTAATAAGTAATCAATTTGTCTTCGTTGTAATTATTACCCAAATCTGAGGTTCCCTGTGGCCAGTCTCAAAGGACATGAGCAATCTAGTTTTATTTATTGGACAGGGTAGGCACAGTTTTGGTGTATAGATAAAAAGCCTGAAGTTTTGTGCTCTCAGTGGTTGTCAGCTGTAAAGCTTGTTATTGACTGAGCAAAGGACTTGATTTAAAGCTGCATGTGTGCTTAAGGTTTATGAAAGCTAGGACCCTAAAGCAACTCAGTCTTAGGATAAGGACATGGCAGGTGAAATCCTTGGCTCTGGGGACAGTAGCAGAAGCTGCAGCCTTATTGAACAGGACAAGATGAAGAAGTCCTATCTGTGAGAGCTCACGGCAGAGTGCTGGTCTTTGTCATATTTGGCATGACCAAATCTCCAGAACCTCCTGAAGTCAAGAGAAGTTATAAGTGACATTGTATGCCCAGTGCTTTAAAGAGAAGCAGCTTTCCTGGAGCTGGTTACCTTTATGCCTAGGCCTCAGGTAGTCTCCACAAATCTACTGTAGGAAAGTGAGCAGTATGCATGCAGCAAGAACCAGAAACACAGTACCTGTAACTAAAAAGTAGTGAAAACCTGTAAAAACTTTAGATGTGGAATTAAAAGTACTAAATAACGCTGGAATTGCAACAGCCAGTCATATTTAGATGGTGAAAGGTACTTGCAAGGAATAGGAAACTGTAAGACATAGTCTAGTTGACTTGTGAAAGAAGCACACGAAACTTCTATAAATGATAATCATAGTAACAACTCCATTTGACCAGTCTTCCCATTAAAGATAAACTTCATGTTACTTCTGAATCATCTATAAAGACTAAATGTAGCTTGAATGAAAGCCTATCAGTGCTTTAGGCTAGTATTTCACCCTTTTCAAATCAAATACATTTTCTAGTGTTTGTTATTGCTACCATAGAAAATATGTTTTTGTGAGGACTTAATGAATACTGGGGTTGTTTAAAATGTAGATCCAGTTAGAGGTGTCTTAATTGATTTAAGATTACTTCATAACATTTCTACTGCAATTTTATGTTCCTTTTAAAGTAGTTTTAAGGAAATGTATGATTATTGAATATTGTTATTTACTTTGAAGACCTGAAGGTAACTGAAGTAGATTAGCAAACAGCTAGCTTCTTTTCCTTCCTTCCTTCCTTTCTTCCTTAAAAAAGAGCATTGTTTTCTCTTTGAGTACTGAGTTCTAGAGGTTGTTTTGTACATGAGTCCTTTTTTGGATTTCATCTGTGACTTGAATGCATCTGCCCCCTCCAGAAGTTTCCCGTGTACCGTGTTTAATCCACCTACCTCATCTCTGTGTCTAGGCCTCCACTGATTGTGTTCTTTCACTGTACATTGCATTTTTTAGTTTTTATACTTTTCATTTTATCCTTTTCTCACTCAGATTTCCTTCCTTCCTTCTTTGTCTGAAACAGGGTCTGGTGTATAGAATGGGTTGGTTTGGAATTCATTGTGTAGCTCAGGTTGGTCTTCAACTTAATGCTACTACTTCAGTCTCCAGAGTGCTAGAATTACAGACATGAACCAATATGCCAGAATGTTTTATTAATGGCATAATATGTGTTTTTGTGTGGCTTGAGTCAAAGTAATTACTTTAAGATTTGATCTTAGAAACACACCTATGAGGTCGAGACTGTATGATACCTACTGGAACTGGGGTTACTTCAGCTACTTCACCCATAAATTGGCACTACTTACCTCCATGACTGAATTTACATACCCCTAGCTGAACCAAGACCAGCTAAGGCAAGGAAACACTGATCACCGAACCAAGTATTCATTCATTGCAGGAATGCCAGAAACTCATTCCAAAAGTTAGGCATCCACTTGCAGAGACTTCTGTATATATACCAAAGCCAGAACTAGAACCTGATCTGGATCCAGAGTCGGGGCCAAACCAGGATTCAGATACAGATTGTGGAGGAAGCAGTCTCTGTGCAGAGGAGCTGCCAGCACAAGACAGCCTTCTGGGAACTAGGAAAGGAATGTGAGAGATGCCAGATAAAACTCAGCAGTCAGGAAAGTCCACCCCTGGGTGGTGTCTATTGTAGTTGGTAGTTTACTCTCAGAAGAGGACTGGGATAGAATTTGATACTGTGAACAATCTTTTAACAGAGGAAAGTGACACCTCAACCATGCTGCCACCTAATCCTTCCCCAAAACTGCAGACATACCGTTGGAAAATGAAAAAGTAACAACCAACAGTTAAATTCCTGGTGCTTAAGTTCCAATGCAGAAATGATAGGTAACATGAAAACCGATATAATTTGCACCCTCCAAGTTACAATCCCAGCATCATGGCCGACACTGAGAAAGAACTAGCCCAATCTACAGAGATAAAGCTTACTAGATGTACTACAACGATGATCCACGTGGCAAGACATGCCTGCAGGTACAGTAGTGACACACGTGTCATGGGAGTAACCCTTAGAACAAAAAGAGTGTCGTTTGGACTTAAGGCTTGCTCCACAGGTATGGCATCATCAGAGACAGGAACCTTTGGCTAGATAGGTTGTAGACCCTAGGGGAGAATCAGTTACTATTACTCTGCTAAGTGGACCGAGTTTTAAATGGACTCCTGATGACTTGTGCATCTGTTGGCTCTCATCAGAGAAGATGCTTTTTGTACTTGATGGCCATAAACCCAGAGACCCACAATGGTCAAGGTACAGAGAGTAAGAGATTGAGGAATGTTCAGCCCTGAATGGGACATTTGTATAGCTTCCCCTTTTCTCAAGGCTTAGGAATCATTTGGGAAGAGGAGACAGAAAGATTGTAAGAGCCAGAGGCAGTGGATGACTGAAAGGAAACTGAGTTTTCTGGACACAGCAGGGAAGTTGCACATAACAAATTCCCAGTGGTTAGAACAGCATTCAAAATGTCTGTGTAGGCTCAGGCCAGACCAGTTACAACATGGAAATGAGAGGTAAGCATGAATTCCCACCTCTGAGGAGCTGTTGGCAGTTGACAGCTGCTGGGAAAGGAACAGTCATTTTTCTTTAAGGGTGTGGCCCTGGTAAAGGCCACCCATCCTATCCTACAGTTTATAGGCAGCATAAAGGGGACTTAATGTGTTTTTAAAAAGGATACAAATTGGGTGGGTAAGGGTGGATCTGGGAGAATGACTATGACAACTAATAAAAAGTGACGAAACCGGCAAACTCAGACAGAGAGCGAGAGCGAGAGAGCGAGAGAGCGAGAGAGCGAGAGAGAGAGAGAGAGAGAGAGAGAGAGAGAGAGAGAGAGAATGAGAGAGAGAGAGAGAGACCCAACGAGAAGACATTACAGTTTTAAACATCCAGGCATGTGCAATGAACACAGGTACACAGGTGCACCCAATTTCATAAAACATACTTTGCTAGGTGTAAAGACACAGCTTGACCCCAACACAATAGTACAGGGTAGTTCATTACACTACTCTATCAACTTTTTATTTTTGGTGGTGAGGGGGTTCATGACAGGTTTTCTCTGTGAGCTCTGGCAGTCCTGACCAGGCTAGCCTTGAACTCACGGAGATCGCCTGCCTCTGCCTCCTGGGATTAAAGGTGTGTGCCACCACCACCGGGCCGCTCTATCAATTTTGAGTTCTGTGTCAAAAAGTACACAGAAGCATCTGGATTATGGCATCATAGATCAAAAGGACTTAACAGGTATCTCCAGAAATTCTCTCCTTAAACTGCAGAATACACATTCTTCTTAGCAGCCCATGGACATTTGTCTAAAAGTGTGTATTAGAACATAGAGGAAATCTGAACAATTATAGGAAAATAGAAATAATTCCTTATAATCTATAAGCAATGAAAAAAACTACAAAACCACAGTTACAATGACTGTAGAGCGTACACAGACTTATGGAGGTTTAACAACACACTATCAAAAAGAAATAAAGACATTTTAAAGTCATGTGAAAATGAAACACAGTGCACCAAAGTCTGTGGAGTAGAGAGACAGAGAGCAGTGCTGAGAAACACAGAGTCTATGGAGTACAGTGAGAGAGAGCAGTGCTGAGAAACACAGAGTCTATGGAGTAGAGAGAGAGAGAGCAGTGCTGAGAAACACAGAGTCTATGGAGTAGAGAGAGAGAGAGCAGTGCTGAGAAACACAGAGTCTATGGAGTAGAGAGAGAGAGAGCAGTGCTGAGAAACACAGAGTCTATGGAGTAGAGAGAGAGAGAGCAGTGCTGAGAAACACAGAGTCTATGGAGTAGATGAGAGAGAGAGAGAGAGCAGTGCTGAGAAACACATAATTTAATGCTACATCTTAGGGTTGTAGAAAAATAAGAATCCCCACCCCGTCTTAGTTAGGGTTCCTGTTGCTGCGATGAAACACCATCACCAAAAAGCAAGCTGGGCAGGAAAGGGTTATTTGTCTTACACTTCTAGATCATAGTTCCATCATTGGAGGAAGTCAGAACAGGAACTCAAGCAGGGCAGGAACCTGGAGGCAGGAGCTGATGCAGAGGGCATAAAGGGGTGGGTGCTGCTTACTGGCTTACTTCCCCTGGCTTGCTCAGCCCGCTTTCTTATAGAACCCAGGACCACCTACCCAGGGATGGCAACATCTACCATGGCTGCACTCTCCCCTATTGATCTCCTCTAATTGAAAAAAATACTTTACAGCTGGACCTCATGAAGGCATTTCCTCAACTGAGGCCCCTTCTTCTCTGATAACTCATAAAACCAGCCAGTACACCCCAAAATCAGTAGATAAAAAGAAATGTTTAAGAACATGGAGACATGGCTCAGGAGGTAAGAACACTTGCTGTGCAGGTATGGAAACCCCGAATTCAGATCTCTGCACTCACTTATGGTCCTATGTGCTCATTAATTGCAGCTCTCAGGGGGCAGGGACAAGAGGACTGCTAGGGTTTGTTGGCTGCTGGCTAGCCTGGCTGAAAAACTGAGCTTCAAGTTCAGAGAGTGACCTTGCCTTAAAGGAATAAGGTGGGTAATGATAGAGGTTTGAAGATGGATGATAAGATTTTACATATAAGATCCTACTGTAACCAGAAAACTCTTGGTGCTGGCAAACAGTTTGAGAAAAGTGGCAGGTTACAAAATCAGTAGTCTTCTTTTATACCAGTAATACATAGAGAAAGAAATTAAGGAAACACTCCCATTTACGATCTTGAACTAAATCTGACCAAAGATGTGAAAGACATGGAAAACTTTTAAAATTCAAGAGAGAAATTGAAAACGACACTAGAAGATGAAAAGACCGCTGTGCTCGTGGACTGAAAGAATTGTGGAAATGGCTATCTTAACAAAAGTAGTCTACAAGATTGAATGAATCCCAATCAAAAGGCTAACACCATATACATGGAAATATAAAAAGCAATCTTAAAATTTATTTGGAAACACAAAAGTCTTCAGAAACCCAAAACAATCCTGTTTCCCCACCTCTCACCCCCAATAAAGAAAGAAATCAAGCAAGCAGAGGTGTCACCATGCCTGATTACAAGGTATATTACATAGCCAAAACTAAGCATGGTACTGGCACAATCAGAAATATAGATGAGTAGAACAGAATAGAACATCTGGATATAAATCCATGCAGCTACCACCAGCTGGTTTTTTGACAGAAATGCTGAAAGTAGTTATTGGAGCAAAGACAGACTCTTTACCAGATGGTGTTGGGAGAGCTGGGTATCTGCATGTGAAACTTTATAGTAGGCACTTTTGATGTCACACCTGAGAACCCCGTCAAAGCTAACACCATAAAGATTTACTCCTGTGCTTTTTGGAGACTGCCTCTAGGTTTTAATATAAATTACATCAAAATATTTTATTATAAGAAATTAATTTTAATAAGTTTTGATTAATTTTAAGTGTATAATGTGTGTGTGTGTAATGTATATAGTGAGACTTGGTTCTGCCAATTTCATTTTATGGAGTGCGTGGTCGCTAGTTTTGCATTTTAATCCTGCTGATTTGGTTATTCCTAGTCTGGTTATAGTGTCATTCACTGACCAGAATTTACATCACTTGGGCTTCTTTCAGTCTGTTTCAACATGCAGAAGAATGTAGTTGGTGGCTTCTGTTGAGTGGAGAATGGTAACAGTCATTATAGGGTGTTGTTTAATTATTCCTTGAAGGCAAAACAAAACAAAAAACAAAAAAGTCTTCCAGCCTTCCACCTGAGGTGGAACTTACTACTCCTTTAACTGTCAGAAGTTAAATACCAAAAGTTTGTCATTAAGCAGAGGGTGTAGTTTTGTTGTTTCTTCTTTCTTTTTCCTCAGTACTTGATTCTGAAGCTTGAAAGGCCTGCTATAGTTCAGAATATTACATTTGGAAAATATGAGAAAACCCATGTCTGCAATTTGAAGAAATTCAAAGTCTTTGGAGGAATGAATGAAGAAAATATGACAGAGCTGTTGTCTAGGTGGGTTTGCTTGTGGGGAAGAAAGTGAAACATACTGCAGATTTAGTCTACTTTCTCCTTCTTTTTTTTTTTTTTTTTTTTTTTTTTTGGTTTTTCAAGACAGGGTTTCTCTGTGGCTTTGGAGGCTGTCCTGCTGTCCTGGTACTAGCTCTTGTAGACCAGGCTGGTCTCGAACTCACAGAGATCCGCCTGCCTCTGTCTCCCCAGTGCTGGGATTAAAGGCGTGCACCACCACCGCCCAGCTTTCTTTTTTTAGTCTACTTTCTTTGTAGGTAAATCTGTGCTCTTTTCTAGGAAGTAAAGAAAGAACATTTGTTTGGTTTTATTCTAGTATCTTTGTTAACATTGTGGCTTAAGTTAGTGGGTTTTTTGTTTTTTTTTTTTTTAAACTACCAGCTTACTAGTTAAAATTTTTAAATAATGGAGAAAGAATCAAAATTTTTTCATAACTTTGACCTCTCGATAACTTTAGAAATACTTTCTATTCCAATGATAATCTCTGGGTTTAGTCCCTAGCACTTCCAGAGCAAACCACCCACTTGTGGTAGAAGCACAAAATCTGTGTCTATTAGAAAACATAAACTCCACTCAAAGTTTGAACTGTCTAATCTAAATAGTATTCTAAGATTTTGCTGCTAGAGATGAAAAAGGAGAAGTTTCAGTAGATGAAAATAAACAAAACATGACAGCATGTAGCACAGATAGAACTCAGTCGATTGGAGTTCTAAAACAGTTAAATCCCAGCATGATGAAAGTCGGATAGCTAGTGGAAAGAAAGCCATGCAGATTTAGAATGTATTTGTGACATGGTTATCCCATTAAGAAAATACTGAAGTAAATACTGGTTGTGTGCTCTGATTTAAGTCATCAAAGTATTTTAGGGAGTAGGGTAGTCTGATGGTAAGGGATTTTCCTGTAAGCGCTTGTATCAATCTTGGTTAAACAAGAGGTGATATGGGTTAGTGTTTATTTGGGTTAAAGGAGATGGTATTAAATGAGCAGACCAAGATTGTCTGTGACAATTTGTGAATGGTGAAAAGATAATAAGAAACGTGATTCTTTGACAAATTCTGATATTTGGCCTTGTTGAACTTGTTAGATACAGCTGTATTATTTTTAATCCCTTTCTTACTCCCTGAAAAAAATCAGACTAAATTATACATTACAAATAGGCACGCATTTCCATATGCTAGCCACATTCTCTAGTTAATATGGAACATTCTTCATTAGCTTTTGTATAGTTTTAAAAAGCGCAGCTGTCAGTTGCAGTTGATTTGGATGCACATATTTTGACTTATGTTTTCATGTTCAGTTATTTGTTTATATTGTTTTGAATATACAGTATGAGCATTGGCTTAAAGCTTAACATCCGAATATAAGATTACAATGTCTTTGTGTGTTTACTAAATTATGAAATCATGTTTTTGCATATAGTTTTTTTTTTTCTTTCCCTACCCCCAACAGTGGCTTGAAGAATGATTATAACAAAGAGACATTTACCTTGAAACATAAAATCGATGAACAGATGTTCCCTTGTCGATTCATTAAAATTGGTAAGGTTTTGGTGTCTTTGAATTAAAAAGTTTTTTAATGCCTTTAGTCCATAGGCTCTAGCTCCCTATGTTAGGGTTTCTTTTTTTATAGGAGTGTTGCTGCACTGCTTAGTTTGTATGCTGGATTTAACTGCTTTTGTGCCTCAAAGGCAAAGTGAATAAAGAGATACATAGCCATCAAGCTTAAAAGATTTCTGTTGGTCCTTTACAGAAATGTTTGCTAACCATTGCTTTATGAGTCCATTATTAAGTGATAGTTATTTAGTGAGCAGGGATATTAAGGATATTAAGGACCAAGCCTATCTCTGCCCCAAACCTTTAGAAATATTATATTAAAATTGGAATCAAAGAAGTCATATTTATTATTGAAGAACAATAATTCCAGAATCCCACATTTTTTAAGAGAAATTTTTTGTGATAATAGTGTTAAAGAGTAGACTCAACGGGAATAGTTGAGACCCTCAAGACTGTAGTGGGAATCATTGTATTTATTCAAGTCCCGACAAAACATTGATTTATTAAAACCCTTTAAGCACATGCATTGTAGTCAAACTTCTGTGTACCTAGTAGTTGAGCAGAAAGATTGGATAGTCAAGTCTTTTAAAATTTCAGGTAGACACAGCCATGTCACTTTACTTACTGTAATCTTTTTTTTAAATTAGATATTTTTTTTTTAAATTAATTTTTTTTTTTTTTTTTTTTTTTTTTTTTTACTTTGTGCATGTTTTTGCCTTCACATGTGTCTGCACTGTTCACTATGCATCTAGTGCGTGAGGAGCTCAGAAGTGGGCATCAGATCCCCGGAGCTGGAATATGGGTGTGTGGGAGCTGCTGTGTGGGGGCTGGGAACTGAACCTGGGTCCTTTGGAAGAGCAGCCAGAGCTCTTATTGCTGAGCTGTCTCTCCAACCCCTCGCCCATTGTACTGGTTAAGACATCCAGTGTAATATTGATTAGTAAAGAAATTGGCTTTTTTGTTCTGACATTTGGACAAGAGTACTTAATATTTCCTCAGGTTTATTGTTTAAGGCTAAAGATGATTTTTAAAAAGTAACTGGGCATATTTTTTTCCTTTTAGCTTTTGTTAACATGGTAAATTGCATCACTATATCTCTTTTTATTGAATCATCTTGTACTCCTTGAAAGAAGTCTTTTATTTTTTTAAAGAAAACCTATGAGATAATTTTTATTGTTGTTGCATTTTTCCCTGATTATTTGGGTATGTCTTCATAGTAGAGATTGACTTTAAGCGTATTTTTTTCTGGTTTTGTTTTCAGAATTATATATTGATGAATAATTCAAGTTTTAATCTATACTTGGATATAATTTTTAAAATATTATTATCTGCTGTATGTAAGATCAGTAACCTCTGTTAGATTATCTAGTTTGGGTTTTATTTTTTAGGGGTAGATGTATGATGCCTTTGAAGTTATATTATAGTTTTTATTAGCTAAGAAAATATCATGATGGCTTCAGTCAAATTTGTTTTTTGACATCACAAGCCATCTTTTAAAAACCAAACACTCACTTGTTTCTAAGATGCATGGTTTCTGTTGTTGTTGAGACAGAGTTTCACTATGTGGCCTAGGAATTCTTGTTCCTCGTGCTAGAGCCCTGAAAGGACTGAAAATGTAGGTGTGTGGCATGAGTCATAAATTTTGATGAATAACTCCATATAGATTTAAATATTAGTAGCTTTACTTTGTTGAAACTTATTTGAGCTATATTAATTTTCCCCCTCTTTTGCTTTTCCTCCTTAAAGTTCCCCTTTTGTCCTGGGGGCCCAGCTTTAATTTTAGCATCTGGTATGTTGAACTTAGTGGCATTGATGATCCTGATATAGTGCAGCCCTGTCTGAACTGGTACAGCAAGGTAGGACTGTGCTTTACATTTACATTTTGATACCCAAGGAGGGAGAAATGTCTTTATTGTGACCAATATGAAATGTCTGTCGGGAACAGTAGTAAAAATTAGGATTAATCAGCTAACAGTTAAAGTGTTGTAGCCATCAGCTGCTCAGCACTCCTAACTCACTTAAATCATCATCATCTTATGAGACATAATTATCAATCCTCATTATTTCATAGAAGAGGAAATGGAGCAGAGAGGCTCACACAGTTGTAAAGTGCTTGAGCCAGAATTTGGACTCAGGCAGCAGGGCTCTATAGTTAGCTGTTATTTTATTATATTCGCTTAACCCTCAATTTTATTTTTAATATAAAGTGATAAGACTATTTTGAATAAAATTTTTACTGGGTTACTTTTACAGCCTGATAGAAAGTTTATTGTTTAAACATGATTGAAATGCCTAAAGTCAACATGGTAGCTAAATGTCACTCTTTATGTATCTGTTATATAGATAGTTAATAATAAATCCGTTTTTGAGGCCCAAGGGGGGGAGGGTGTAAAATTATTGGGGATAGAGTCACTCTGGTTATTAGATGAGGTTACATATTGGTAATTATAGCTGTATAAGTAATAGGAATTTGATAACCTTTAATTAGTTGAGAAGTGAGGTAACTATAAACTAGCTGTTTTTCAAGTCTTGGGGGGAGGTCTTATTTTTCTGTCTTATTTGAGGGTGTTTTTTATTATTTATTTATTTATTTATTTATTTATTTTTGGTTTTTTGAGACAGGGTTTCTCTGTGGCTTTGGAGGCTGTCCTGGAACTAGCTCTTGTAGACCAGGCTGGTCTTGATCTCACAGAGATCCGCCTGCCTCTGCCTCCCCAGTGCTGGGATTAAAGGCGTGTGCCACCAACGCCCGGCTGGTGAGGTTTTTTTTGTTTTTGTTTTTGTTTTTGATTTTTTAATTGTTATGTAGTGTTTCTATATAATTTTGTTTTCTTCTTTTTGTAAATCAATATACTTAGAAAATTTGAGGTAATCCAAGTGCATATTTTAACTTGTTTGTTTTTAAATTATTTTTCTGAGCTTGTGTTTATTTCTGGCATTCATCCTGTTAAAGAAAATGGTTTGTAAATTGGGTGCTCACTTTTAAATTCCTGCTGTCTTTTCTCTTAGCACCTGCATTATGATGTTTTAGTTGCTGTCCTGGGAATTGCAGAATGTATAGCCTTAAGGGGTTTTTAACATAGAATGTTTTGCCCCCCCCCCCAAGTTTAGGCTTTTGAAATATGTCTGGTTTGATCTCCTTTGGTAACATACTTACAATCTTGGGCAAAAGCTTCAGTTTTACTACTTGACAGGTGAAAATAATGGTAACTAATGAACAAGATTGAATATAGTGCTTGGTAAATAGTAAATGCTGAGTTTAATTTTATTTATTGTTACTGTTTCCCACAGCGGCAACTAAGCAGATCTCTTTCCCTCCTACTTCTCTTGTGTTCTAGTAGTACCGCGAACAAGAAGCCATTCGCCTTTGTCTAAAACACTTTAGACAACACAACTATACTGAGGCTTTTGAATCCCTGCAAAAGAAAACCAAGATTGCACTGGAGCATCCAATGTTGACAGATATGCATGACAAATTGGTGTTGAAGGGTGACTTTGATGCTTGCGAAGAGTTGATTGAAAAGGCTGTAAATGGTGAGAAACTTAGAAAGTTGGATTATTAGGATAATTTCAGTATTTACAGGAAACTTTCAGAAAGAATATATGCTGCTTAATCAGATATTACTCTTTTCTATTTTTCCTCTGTAAAGTTTGTTATCTCCTTGTAATTTTGTTATGTAAGATAGGTTTATAATATTCCAGGAATTTAAAAAAAGAATAGAAATAAATTTGACTTCATTTACCTATATTAAATTGTCATTGTAGGAAACCAAGCACTTAACTAAACTAACAATCAAATGAGAAACAGTTTTTTGATGTTATGGTCTGTTATCAATGACTTGTTCCTTATATTTTTGGTTGTGAGCCTAGCCTTTAACAGATGAGCTATCTCTCCAGCCCAATGACTTGTTCCTTTAAGTAATTTTTTTCAATGGCCAATATATTTTCCCCCCATCCCCTTTTGGTTTTTCAAGACAGGGTTTCTCCAAGTGGCCCTGGCTGTCCTGGAACCCATTTTGTAGACCAGCCTGGTCTTGGATTCAAGATCCTCCTGTCTCTGTCTCCCGAGTGCTGGGATTAAAGGGTGTGCCACCACTGCCCAGCTCCAATATTCATTTTTTAATAGTGTGATTTGGATGACGGGTTGTTTGTATATTAGTAAATGTAATAGACAAGGAAATTTGTATTAAATTTTTTCTTTGTAATGTGAGTGACACTGCGTAATCCTTGATTTCCTTATAGAATTGCTGACTTTCTTAAGTGGCCTATAATTTGGCTTTCAACATGTATTTATAATGTAACAAAATGCTTTGAGTTTGAATATTTAAGGTCTTGGTCTCATAGTTATTTGAAGTAAAAAGAGGGCTATGTTATCCCTTAGTGAATGAGAACTTTTTTTTCTCCTTTTCTCCTTTTTGTTCTTCCACAGTGGTTTTCATAGTGACAAAGAACATTACAGATACTCAGTATAAAGCTTGTGGAGAGCTGGGGGATGGCTCATTGGTGGAAAACTTGTTTAGCATACACAGGCCATAAACTTCAACCTGGCATAAACTATGGGAGAGATGCAGGATGATCAGTAGTTCAGATTCATCTTCAGCTACGTAGCAAGTTCCAGGCTAGCCTGAGCCATTTCTCAACCAACAAACAAATTTGTAGGGTTAATCCAGTTTATCTTTTCATACAAAGAATAGGGAATATAATAATGTATTTTAGTCCTTTGCATTCATATATTTTACTCTCCCTGCTGTTATTATTCATTATTACTAGGTGCTTGCATTTGGGTATTGTGTTGGGTATTTTATAACTAAGGAAACGAAAAGTCTTTCTATTTTATAAACTTATACTAAAATCAGTCACTTCCAGATCTATTGTAAGATACATTGGCAAAGTTACCTCCAAGCCTTATACATTGTTGCTATTTCTTTAATTGATGATTCATGCTTACAAATAAAGAAGTGATAGTTTTGAGATTGAATATACTTTAAGAACACTGATAATCCCATACCAAACTATTAAAATGCTACCAATGAAAGTGCATAAATATGTCTCCATTTCTAAAAGTTACTTTATATATTTTTCTAATCTCAGTATGAGGGAAATATATAGGTAACTTTATGATTTGGGGGTTGACTTGTTTCATGTCTTCACCACTAAGGCATCTGATTTTGTTGCATTAGTGATATAAAGCAACAGTAACCACCACGTGAAGCTTCACTGATTGTAAGGCTAATGATAATTACCTTTTCAAACTGTCTCTTCAGTTGTATGCCTGTTGGTTAGGAGAAGCTGTTCCAAGCATGTGCAAGTCTGTTTACAATAGTTACTTGCACTTCTGCCTCTAGAAAGGGAGCCTGGTTTAGTAAAATGATCATAACTGACACTTAGAGCCACACCATCTTACTGCTAAGGGCTTTCCGTTGCCTTGGAACACTTAGTTAATAACTATTCCTTTCAGGGTTGTTCACTTTGCTGCTGACTTCACTGATGATGATTTGTTGAACAAATAAGGAAAAGAACAGTGCAGAATTTTTTGGCTTCTCTTCCACTGAAAACATAGATGAGGCCAAGAAGTTTTTGTTCACTGAATAGAAAAGTAGGACACTGAAGCATCTTTTATCAAGCTTCTTACAATGGAGCAAACAAAAACTTCTTTCAGTGTATTTACTGTTCTCATTAATATGATCTTAAGTGTGATCTGCATTTGAGTATTTCTTCTTCCTTTATTCTAACACCTGTCTAAAATTTTCATGTGTGAATAAGAGTAAACGTTGTAGAAAACAGACAAAGTTATTTTATCTGATTAGAGTTTTACACACACAGAGAGAGACTATAAACTATACATTCTTAGAATGTATACTTTGGTATGACATATATGCATGTATGCCCATATGCCCGACACCTCCACCACTATACTCACAGTAACACACATCGACAATCCCTAAATTTTTCTCACTTTCTTGTCTAATCTAGCCTTCCTTCATTGCTTCCATTCCATTCTTAGGCAAGTATTTACTTTCTGTCACTATAGATGAGTTTGCATTTCTATAGCTTTATGTAAACAGATTATACTCTTGGACTTCTTTCAGTTGGCTTAACTGTTTGGAGTTTCATGTAGGTTGCTGCACTCGGTGATACCCCATGTCTTACTGCTGAGTAGCACATGATGTAGATACTAGTTTTCTTCTACAGTCATCTGCTGATGGGCATTTGGATTACTCACACTTGTGGGCTGTTGCAAGCAACTGTTGCAATGAACATTTGTACATTAGTCTTTGTGTGGAAAACACTTTCACTTTTTAAGGTAGACACTGAGGAACAGAATCACCATGTGTCATGTTGTATGTATATTTTAACTTTTTAAACTGACATTGCTGTTTTACACTCACATAGTAGTGGATAGAAATTCCAGTTGTGTGACAGTAGTTAAGACAAGGTCATGACATTGAGAAGGCGTGGGAGGAGTTGGAGGGAAGGGCCGTTGGTGGAAATGATGTAACAGTACTCATGTTTGAAATCCTAAAATAAAATAATATTAAAAAAGACAATTGACTAACTGCTGCATATTCTTGTCCATACGTTGTAAACATCCAGCAATAGTTTTAATACTGGTTGTTCTGATATATGTGTATAATTTCTGGTTTTAATTTGTTTTTGTAGTAACTAATAATGCTTAGCATATTTTCATAGACTTATTTTTATCTTTTGTGTCTTCATTGGTGAGATGTTTGTTTGTATCTTTTGCCCATTCTTTTAGTGAATTGTTTTCCTATGTCTGCATTTGAGACTTCTTCTATCTGGAGACAAGTTGTTTATTAGAGAGAGATTTTTGGTTATGAGCCTAGCTGTTAATGGCTGAGCCATTTTTCCAGCCCTGTTAGAAGTATATAAGGGATTTAAAAATATATTCTTTCAGTATGGAGGAGACAAGATTCTGATGTGGTGTGATTTAAAATGTCATAATGAAACCCACTATTTTGTACAATTAGTGCATGCTAATTAAAAAGAGGAAATAAGAAAATATATTTTCACAGGATCTGATGGTACAGATTCTGTAATCTCCGTACTTGGTGGATGGAGATAGGGCAGATGTAGAGCAAGTTAGAGGCCAGTCTAAATATCATGAGACTCTGTCTCAGAACAAGCAAAAGTAAAATGTAATCTCTAGTGTATGGCTTGTCTTTTCATCTTCTCACTGTGTGTTTGAACACAGAAGTTTACCTCGTGGTGAGAGTCCTTCTATCTGCTTGATTGTTACCATGCTCTCTGGGCGTTAAATCTGAGCAAGATCAGAACTTCTTGTTTTCTTCCAAGACTTTTGTCGTTGAGGTTTACATTTGTGCTTATCATTGATTTTGAGTTAATTTGTGTGTATGGTACCAGATAGGGATCTAATAATTTCTGGTTTGACAATGCAGTGTGTTTCCCTAGTGCCACACCGTCTTGATTACTTAGCTTAATAAATAGTGTGAGTAAGTCTTCCAGTGTTCTGTTTTGAGATTATTTGGACTATTCTGGGTGGTCTGAATTCTCTTGTGAATTTTAAAATTTGCTTCTCCATGTCTGAAAAATTGTCTACTATCATTTTGTTTCGTTTATAGTATAGTCATAGGTCAACTTGGCAAGAATCAAAATCTTCATGTTAGTGTTTTATTTACAATATGGTTTATACTCTCTGTTTTTACAGTTCTTTAACATTTATTTCATTGTCTTTTGTTTTTGGTAGCTGGGTCTTATATATGTATGTTGGTTGTCCCATAGTATTTCACATTTTATATTCCTACTACAAGTAGTATTTTTAAAATTCAGTTTCTAATTGTTAATTGCTAGTGAATATGAAAAAAATCAGGTGTTTTAATGTTGATTTTCTACTCTGCAGCCTTGGTAGCTGCTTGAGAGATTCAGTAGAGTTTTTAATCATGCCATCACTTTTAGAAGACCCTTTTTCGTGTTTTATCCAGTCTTGATATTTTTAAATTTTTTTATTACTGTATTAGCTTGGACTTTCCATAGACCATTGAGCAGTATCAAGACAGTAGATAACTTTGCTTTGTAAAGAAGTCATTAAGTAAAATGTTAGTTAGAATTTTTTCATAGGCATTTTACCAGATTGAGGAGATCTAGTTTGTTATATCTTTATCAGAAATAGATACTGCATTTTATCAAATATGTTTCCTGTGTCTTGAGATCATGAATTTTCTGTTTTCAACTGCTTAGATCTTAAATTATATTAATTTTGATTTTTAAATTTAGCTTTCCAATACTACGAAAATCCCTGTTTGATACTCATTTTAGGTCTTGTTACATTTGAGTTACAAAATTTTATTGAGTATTTTTATGAATAGTTGAGTAGTTTGGATACTGGCCTGCAATTTTGTTGTAAGTATATACCTTGTTCTGGTATGTGGGTAGTTCTGGCCTTTACAGAAACAATGAGGTGAGAATTAGTTCTTTAATTTTCTGAAAATGTTTATATAGAATTAATAGTACCATGGTGGACTTTAAAAAGGATGAATAATAGAAAGTGGGCCTGA